CATCAATTTTATTTGATCCCGAGGATTTAACCATCGTCAGTTCAAGGCGTTTTTGGATGAACTATCAACCGAATATGACGGCGTAATACATTATTGTGAAGTCAGATGGCTAGGCAAAGGGAAAAGGCTGAAACGCTTTTATAAGATGAGAAATGAGATTGCAGATTTTATGCAAATAAAAGATAAACCACAATCTGAATTGAGTGACCCAAAATGGATACGTGACTTTGCATTTCTAGTCGACATTACAGGCTATTTAAATGATTTAAATTTAAAACTACAAAAATAAGGTTAGTTAGTACATGATTTGTACAGACATTTGAAAGCGTTTCAGAACAAAATCAGCTTGTGGGAAGAACAGATGCTATCTGATAACAGTTACCATTTCGCTACACTCTCTCTGTGTGAAGATATTGCTTTTGCTCAATATGCTAAAGAGCTCAAGTTACTGTCGAAGCAATTTTCGAACAGATTTAGCGATTTTAAAAACATGGAAGATTATTTTAATTTATTTGCTACTCCAACAAAAAGTAATATAAAAAATGCTCCTATACACTTGCAAATAGAGTTAATCGAGATTCAGGAAAATTTACTTTTAAAATCTAAATTTGAACACGTGGAATTGTGCAATTTCTACAAAAAATACCTCGAAGAAGACCATTTTCCACACCTTATAAAATTCGCGAGAAGATTGAGTACTTATAAATTGCAGTACTTATAAATGTGAACAGCTCTTTTCAACGATGAAAGTTAGTAAATCAAAACATCGCACAAGGCTGACTAAGGTTAATTTAAAAAATTTTTACGTATTTGTTTCAGTGGAATTAATCCAAACATTGATGAATTCGTTTCCCAAAGTTATGTAAAATCTGTTTTTTTCATTTAATTTTGTTATTTGAATAAATTGTATTACAATAGCAATATCTTATTATTTCATGTCTGATATGTACCGTTAAAAATTATGACTTACTTCATTAAAGTACTACTTTAAAATGCGGTACTTTTAAACGTGACCCGCGAACGTATTTACACACTAAAGTTTGGCCCAAACCATGTTAAAGGTTGCCCATACCTGTTGTAAAAGATATTAATATATCTAAACATTTTTAAACATATTTAACATATTTAAACATATTTAACATATTTAAACATATTTAACATATTTAAACATATTTAACATATTTAACATATTTAAACATATTTAACATATTTAAACATATTTAAACATATTTAAACATATTTAACATATTTAACATATTTAAACATATTTAACATATTTAACATATTTAACATATTTAAACATATTTAACATATTTAACATATTTAAACATATTTAACATATTTAAACATATTTAACATATTTAAACATATTTAAACATATTTAAACATATTTAACATATTTAAACATATTTAACATATTTAAACATTCGTACTCTTCAGATTTTTCAGATCAAATATTTGAAAAACATTTTTCACTAATAAAAAAAATATTTAAGTAAAAATTGTGAGGTATTTTTACATATTAAACATTCAAATTCTGAAACAAATTACCAACTGCAGCAATTAAACAATAGAAGCTAAAAGTATCAACTTAATTAAAGCTCAACTTAATCATGTATATTTAACTTTCTCGTTTTGTCTGTAAAAGATTGAAATCTTTTACAATTAAAACGAGAAAGTTTTGAAAGAAAAAAAAGCGTTAAGTCTCAACAGTATTGTATATTATATTATTGTTAGAAAAAGAATTTCGGGCGAATTACTTATTTAAAATTATAATTATTATAATTATTAAAAAAAAACTGAAGGGCATACATTGCAATATATTACCATAATCATTTTTTTTTTTTAATTTTATTTAGGTGCCCCAAGAAGTCCTAGCGGTCTAAGCACTGAGCACCGCGGATGAGCATTTAATCGGAAGTTCACGCCTCCTTCCAAACCGATGTCGCAAAGCCTACCCAGAGGTGGGGTTTAAACTACGGATCCTTTGTTTCTGAGGCAAGTGCGCTACCACTGCGCCACGGCTGCTCTAAAATTTTATAAAATTTGAAAAGAAGAAGTTTGAATATTTTTTTTTTAAGTCTTTATTTAATGTATTTCAATAATATAGTTTACATTTTTATCTTTATAACTTGTTGCTGGTGATTACTTGTTACTGGTGATTACTGTTATTAATGAAATTGTTTATTCGTCAATTGTTTATTTCGGTAAGAGGATCCATTTAATCAACTTTCTCATTTCTTTTTTTTCGAGTATTGTGTGTAATTGTATTTTTGTATTTTAAGTTTTTATATCCGGTTATAAATCTCAGTTATTTTTAGTTTTTAAATATCCTAAACTTGTTTAAAAAGTTATTTTTTTTTTTGTCTTTTAACCATCTCAAAGTTAGTTCATCAGTTTTAATAAGTTAACACCTTTTTTTTTTCTTCTTCTTTTTTTAAATCGTCTCAAATGATACTGAATAATAGCTGTTTTAACCAATGCGTTCCGGTTGAACAATTTTATTTATTTTTCTTTATATGTTTACACATACATACACTTACACACATACATATAAATATATACACACATACATATATATATATATATATATATATATATATATATATATATATATATATATATATATATATATATATATATACACACATTTTGTATATATAAGTTTTTCTCTTTTTTTTTAATATATATATATATATATATATATATATATATATATATATATATATATATATATATATATATACAGTTTTACATTTACAAATATTAAAATTTTCATACTTTTAATAAATTATAATAGAGAATATATATAATCACCATATCAATAAGAATAAAAATAAAAGTAGCAAAAAAAAAAAAACGATTTTGTTCCAGAGATTAAGTGTACGATAAGCTATACAGAACTGATTGAATTTTTTTCGACAAAATGGTTCATAGAGTAAGTTATCATTTCGTAGAGTATACTTATTTTTTGTTTTTAAGGTAATAAAATCTTTAAAAAATGTGTAATGACGGATTGATTTAACATTAAAGGATAAAACATAATATTTCATATACATTCACTTCATAAATATTAAGTACTTTAACATTTTTAAATAAAGACTTTGAATGCGTAAGTCGATTTTCCAAACAAACTAAGCGTATTGCGTGTTTCTGACGATGATAAAGAGTATGCAACTTACTTTTGTTTGTACTTCACCAAGCAATATTTGCATAGTTAATATAACTATGTATAAATGAGTAATAGAGTTGGATTAAAATGGTTTTGTTTAAATAATTTCTTGACTTGTATAGGACTCCTACATTTTTAGAAACATTAGTGCAAATATATTCAATATGCGGTTTCCATGTAACATTCTGATCAAGATAAATGCCAAGAAAACTATTAAAAGTTTCCTTTTTTATTTCAAATTCATCAATAAGAATTTTTGGCATGGTTGTTGGTAAAAAACCTTTTTTAGATATAGGTTGAAACAGAATGTATTCTGTTTTATCAAAGTTTAAGGTCAACTTGTTACATTTAAACCACTCAGATACGCATTTAAGTTCTTTATTCATGTCAGGGGCGGATCCAGCATTTCTTTGTCGTTGAGATAGCTAACTTCTGGACATGGAGCAAACTCCAAACATTTATATGTTTATACCTATGTCAAATAAAGATGTTTTGCAAAAAATTGCAATGATTGGAGCCTGGGAACAAAAAAGCCCTAAAATTTTAGCCACACCTACTCCAAACGTGAGAGCAACAAGTTGATAAAATATTTTTTCTACTATTTTTAACCAAGTATATATTCATCGATAAATTTTAAAACTCACACAATAATCTATTATTGTTCAACAGTTATGGCCTTATAAAATTTGAAACCCCCTCAAATTGAGGGGGGTTAAAACTTTTTATTGTAATAGTTTTTGAACGCTAAAAGATTTTTGTGTGAGTTTTAAAATTTGTCGATGAATATAGATTTAGTTAAGAACAGCATAATAATTATTTTATCAACTTGTTGCTCTCACGTTTGGGGCAGGTGTAGCTAAAATTTTAGGGCTATTTTGTTCCCAGGCTCCAATCATTGCAATTTTTTGTAAAGCATCCTTATTTGATATTAGTATAAACATATAAGTTTTTGGAGTTTGCTCCATGTCTGGAAGTTAGGTATCTCAAACATCAAAAAATGCTGCATCCATCCCTGCATGTCAAAAAACAGCTCATTAATATTACTGTTTGATAAGAACAAATTCGTATCATCAGCAAACATAATACTCTAAAGATTAGCTGCTTTACTTAAATCATTTATATTAATTAAAAACATAAGAGGACCTAGAATAGAGCCTTGTGGAACACTACAGGTTTTTTCAATATATTCATTTTGAAGGCCATCATTAGAGGTATCAAATTTGTCATATATGAAACCATTTTAGCATATTGTTATTGACTCCATTAGTATTCAAGCTTTTAGATTGAAGAGGATACACAGAATAGGAAGATTTTCATAATAAACTGGCACAAACAACTTTTACTTGGCTTTTTCAAATAATTTAACTTAAAAATCAAAGGATTTTACTTTTTTTTTTTTTTTTTTTTTTTTTTGTTTCGTTGGTTTTTTTGTTTCGTTGCTTCGAAGGTTTTTTGCGGTAAGCGAAAGATACTATGACTCAAAATGAGGTTTAGATTTTTTTTTAAAAACGAAGACCAGATCTATTACTGATTTGAGGAGAAATGTGCTACATCGATTGATCTGTACCTGTCTTAACCCAAACCCTCAGTCGATGTAGCAGCATTCCCTTGCATGTTATCCCTAAATAAGTCAATGCAGAAGCACTCTCCTACATTTCTCCCCAATTCAGTAATATATCTGGTCTTCTTTTTTTAAAAAGTCAAAGCCTCATTTTGAGTCATAGTATCTTTCGCTCACCGTTTTTTGCAGGGTTTTTTTTACGATTATTTGCGGATATTTTTAAGTTTGTTACTTTAGTTATAACTTGAAAGCACGTAATGCGAACGTTTTATGGTTGTTCCAAATTTTAAAATCTTTTAGGTTGTTTTTAATTTTATTCAAAGTAATTTTATCTTATAGAAGATTCTATACTTTTTAACAGTGTATTACTTTTTAAAAAGGGAATACATTTAAACAAAGCTTTTTTATTAAAAGTTAAATTTACCAAGTAATGTAAATATAATGTACACGACATGTTTACATTACATTTACATGTAACATGTAATCCTTACATGACATTATGCATGTAACATGTATAATGTAAATACACAATGATGTAATATATTATATATACTATTATATATATATATATATATATATATATATATATATATATATATATATATATATATATATATATTGTATATATTATATATATTATATATATATATATATATATATATATATATATATATATATATATATATATATATATATATATATATATATATATATATATATATATATATATATATATATATATATATATATATATATATATATATATATATATATATAAGTATAATCTATGTGCTTATTCTAGAATAATAAACACATAGATTAACACATAAAATTCTATCTATAACACATAGAATTCTATATATATATATATATATATATATATATATATATATATATATATATATATATATATATATATATATATATATATATCATATACATTGATAGATAGAATAGAAATATATATTACATTTATTTAGTCTAAGATAATATATTATAGTGTAAACCATGGAAGGTAAATTTTAAAATATATCAACTGCCGGTCATAAAATAACCTCAAAAATTTCATTTTAGACGCAATTTTCAATATTAAATTTTATTTATAATATTATAATATTAATATAAATAATATAATGAATATAAATAATATTTAACTTGATGTTACATACTTGATGATCAAGTCATCAAATAAAACATTTTAAAAAAATTGTAAAAGTAAGTTCTTTTAATATGTATATAAATTTAACTTACATTTATATGTTCATTAGTAATGTAAATTAACATTAACATATTTCATTACATTATGTAATGTAATGAAATGTGCATCATTGGAAGAAGCCTAAAATTAGTAATACAAAAGCAAAAGTTCATATAAATCTGATAACTTTACAAAAATTATGATCATTTAGGTAAAAAACTTTGTTATATGGATTTCTTAAGAAAGTTGTGACCAATGTTGAAAACTAACGTATTGCACATGGTAGCTTTGTTACACAGCTTTGATGTTTGTTTTCAAAAAAGTCAATAAAACAACAAAATAAAAATTAGGTACTTTCACTGCATGGAAATAGAGAATTAATGCATAGTTATTTTTCTATGAAATTTGGCAAATACATAAAAAATAGACATAAAAAATAATTTAAATATGTTAGAAAAATAATTCAACAGTCTGTAATTATAGATTACTTATTAATATATATTACTATAATTATAGTAAACGTATCAATAGGAGTATCTTCAATTATCTTCAATAGGAATACACTTACTATTACAGCAACTACAAAAAAAAAACATGCAAAAAAAAATGTATTATAAACTTAAACTATTCTACTTTAATAAAAGAATCTAAGTTATAAAATTCATCTTTACAACACAGCTTTAAAAAAAGCTTTGAAAAAAGCGTCACAGATTTTTAATCGCTACTGTAAAAGCCAGATATGCACATACCTACATAGATTTTTAAGTTTACATATGCATAATATTCCATTGCATATATATTTATACATTTACGTAAACAATGCTAAAATTAGTGCCTGCTATTAAATTAGCATCTCTCCCTATTTGAATACATAGATTCTATGTATGAGGGAGAAATACAAATTTGAGAGCAAGAACTAGTATAAGCATTTATATATATATATATATTATATATATATATATATATATATATATATATATATTAATTTATCTGTCTGTAACTTTATATATATATACATGCATACATACATACATACATACATACATACATACATACATACATACATACATACATACATACATACATACATACATACATACATACATACATACATATATTCATACATACATATATACACATAGACATATTTAAGAGTTGATATTTTTAATTTAATTTTTTGCTTTTCAGTAAAAAAACTATGGGTGTACCAAAGTTCTATCGTTGGTTATCTGAAAGATATCCGTGTTTAAGTCAAATCATAAAAGAAAATCAGGCTAGTACATTATTTGCATAAATTGCATGAGTTTTGCTAGTTTTTACAAAGTAACTTTTTAATTAAATTCAAGTTCTTTATTAGATTCCAGAGTTTGATAACTTATATCTTGACATGAATGGTATTATTCATCCATGTTCACATCCAAATGATGATGACCCACATTTTCGAATCACTGAAGCCCAGATTTTTAAAAATATCTTTAACTATATTGAGGTAAATATTGATAATATTTGTCAAATATTAACACTGAATATTGAATAATGTCATATTTAGTTATTATAAAATAACTAAATTATAAAATAACTTTAATATAATTTTTTTAGTTGTTGATGAAGATCCTTTAACATTTAATAGGTACCCAATATCAAAAATCAATATCAAAAAAATAGGTTGACTGAATCTCATATAAGGTTAAATTATATAAAAATTTTAAAACAAATAGTTATTTCAATGATATTTCTTGTAGTAATTGATAATTGATTTAATATATAAAAACTTAAAACACAGCTAAGTACACATATTTAATTTAGTTAAGTGATATATTATTCTGATAAGCTTAGACTGTTGCCAGAATTTTACATCTGATGATGGTCTGAGCTAATCAAAATGAAGTATCACATAATTAAATTAAAAGTTAGTACTTAGCTTTCACTAGTCAAATGTAGTATGTTTAGTTTAAAATTTTGGGAAGGGGACAAATTTAAACCAAATTGGTTTAAATTTGTCTGCATCCCCTTTAAAATTGATGCCTATAATTTTTTTTTTTATTTTCTTAAACAAACAGAAAATTTATTAAATTAATTTATTTATCAATAATATATTGTAATTCATTAAATCTAAGTTTTTAATAAAAGTTTTGTTTTATAAAATTAAAATTTTTTCTATTAGATGACTAAATGTGGACTAGGAGTTGACCATTGACCACCATCTATCATTCTTATAAGGATAGAGATTGTAATCAAAGATCCTTGAAAATTTTAATGTTTTTAATATGGAAAAAGATAATGACAAGAGTCTAAGGTTCTGTTTAGGGTTTCTCATTTCCCGTAAATTTAGCATCCCGGGATTCCCGGTGTGTAACTTATTTATCCCGGGATTTCCCGGGATTTCCCGGCATAATTTTTAATATAATAACAAGCGGTTTCTGACACAAATTTATCTTAGCACGCTAATCTATATTACTATTTAAAATGAAATATTGTTTTAAAAAACATAAACAATCAATTGATTTGTCACTTAATCGTGAACGAATTTTTCCCATAAATAGACCCGCGGCAGAAAAAGCCCTTTCTGATTCAATTGATGTCGGCTTGATGGTCATTAATGTTGAGTATATTCTTTCTAAACTTTCGCTACGCTTTCCAGTTGCCTCAAAAAGTTTGATTTCTTTTGTGAGGTTTTTTAAATTGCTAATGTTTTCTAGAGCTGCTTTTTCTACTTGTTTGACATTACAAATAGTCGCATCCAATTTTTGTTCAAGCGTCAAAATACTTTTGCCTAATAAATATGGAGCAACAGGTTGAGGTATTGACGGGTCAGAAACCATGCTTTCATTATCACGACTCACTTCAACTATTTCATTATTTGATGAACTAAGGCTAGCATCCTCTATGTACAACCTGGTATAAATTTTTTTTGCTGTTGCTTTTAATGCATGTTTGGGCGGTAAGAGTAGTTTGGAGTTGATATTTGATTCCTGATTATAACTAATTGGGTTGTTTAAAAATTTTAGTAATCCAATTAAATTGGCATTTCTGCGTTCTTCAATTCTCTGCTGCACAGATTGAAGCAGTTTATTAGCTATAAAATTTTTTTTCTCCGTCAAATCGTCTAAGATGAATATCATTACACCTTCTGCGTCAAGTAGAGTAGCATTACTTCTACCAAGTCTTTCTATTCCAACTTTTATTGGTTGCAGAGAAAATGTTATGTCGTTCATAATCGCATATTCATCTTCGGAGATATTCAGAACTTCTTTTAAATCGATCATTGCTTTTAGTATACATGTTTTTACTTTAAGGAATCTTTCTAGCATTGCAACAAGACTATTCCACCTCGTTTTGACATCTAATATCAGCTTAAGCTCTTTATTAAACATAGATTTTACGTACATTTGTAAAACTTCATTTTTAAGAGGTGATTTACGGAACATTCGAACCACTTTTCGAACCTTCTGAATTGTTAAGGCTATATTTACGCTATTTTGTAAATCATCAATAAACGTAACGCCTGTTGAGCTGTGTGACTCATCATTACAGTCAAATACATCATCAAACTCGTCGTAATCACTCAAATTTTCATCGGAATCTTGAAACTGCGATTCAAATTCAATATATTTTGCTGAAGAGTCTGACTTTTTGTAAAGAACATCACATACTGCCAAATGAAGTCCGTGGGCATAACACAGCTGATGTTCAATACCACTTAGCCGTCCAAATTTTTTCATTACGGATGCTCCGTCAGTGACACTAGCTATGATGTGCTTTTTAATTGATAAACTGAAATCTGACAGTTTATTTTCAACTAGATCAACAATTTTTTCTGCAGGAAGTGATCCAGCTATCGGAGTCATTCCCAGGTTCCAAAACTTTGTTGATAAGTGTAAATTTACATTTAAATAACGTCGATTTTTTAAAGACGTATATTCGTCTAACGATAAAGAAAATTGCGACCCGCTAGAAATTTCTTTTGTTATCTCTAAAACCACAGTTTGTCTAGCTAATTCATATTGTTTTTTTATCATACCCATAACATGGGATGGATTTTTTGGTAATAACATGCCTTTTTCAGACAATGATTTTCTAATGAATTCACTTTTTGTTATGGCATTTATTGAGAAGCCATCCACCGTTGCTAGCTTTGACACAATTTCCTCGATAGTCTGCTGTTTAACAAACAATGTTATTTTCTTTTGAACAATTTTATTTTCCGAACCAGTATCTTCAAGTAGACGCTTCATATTTAGATCCAAATCTTTATGTGTGTTTTTTAAATGACGTAGGAGCCCACTGGTCGAAAATCCTTTGCACATTATCTTTACATTGCACTTTTTGCAAATTGCAGATTCGCCAGATTTTTCTTTACAAAAATACTGCCATGCTTTGGATCCATTTACAATTGACATAGTATAACTAAATTGAATCGCAGAACAACTAAAAGTAAAGTTACAAATATTTCTTACATATGTATGTTATCTTACGTATGACTTTTATGTGTTTGTTTGCCGTTTTTTAAATACAAAAATTATTAAATATTTCAATAATTTGATACAGAAAAAGTTTAACTTTTCAATAATTTAGAAGTTTAAAAATTAAACTTACTGTTTTCGTCGCAAGAAATCTTTTTTATTTTTTACTCATATTTTATAATAATGAGAAAAAAGAAAACATTGCATTGCAATGCATTTCTTTTTAGTTTAAGATAGTTTCAATAGCATTTCTTGTTGTGCTAGGTTTTAATATAAGGTATGAACACATAAAACACAACTAAATGCAATAATATTTTTCTTATTTTTGGTCGAATTAGTTCAAAGTTATCATATGTAAAATTATTTTAAAAAAAATTATATTCCGGGATATAAGAGTGATATCCCGGGAAATCCCGCTGCCACTTTTATCCCCGGGATCCCGGGAAAACGGGATCCCGGGATCCCGTTTGAGAAACCCTAGTTCTGTTAATAAAATTCTTGTATTAGCTTTTGCCAAAAAATGTTACAGGAATTTGTGCAAACCTTCAGATTCTTACAGAGAAAATAATGCTCAATAATTTAAAGCTCTACTTAACGGTAGATCTTATGCTGTTAATTATACTTGCAGGCAATTATGTTTAGCACTTTAGTCAGGACATTAAGGTAATAAAATGGATCTAAAAATATTTTTTGCAAATCTACATCAATGTCTACTAGAAAATTGTTTTTTGATGAAGATTTTGACATTGATTTCAAATTTGTTTTGTTAGGAATCTGTCTAATTAATCTCTAGATAAATAAGCATGGATTTAATGGGGATGGATTAGGTGGTAGAAATGCTAATAAAATACGGAGACTACTGCTTCCCAACTTAAAAATACAACTTAATAAAATATTAATTTGTTACATAATGCAAACTTTAACATCAACCTTTCTTAGTTAATAAGTACTTTGGGATTAAACTTCATGAGGGTTATAAAGACATTGCAAAGTTGTTAAGAATTTGAAGATTTGAGTTAACTTTTTAGAAAAAGAATTGTTGAATATGAAGTTGAATTATACATGACAGCAATTCTATTTTATAAACATTTTATGTAATCAGAATTGGAAAAAATCCAGGTTTTTAAAAAAAATCCAACCCAAATGTTTTTTTTTTGATTTTATGATTTATTATTTTTTTTAATTTAAAAAACTGATAAAAATTCTAAAAATTTTATTATTGTATGTATACAGTAATTTTTTTTTAATTTCATAAATTTAATTTCATTAATCAAAACCTCCCTATTGCTCCAGTGTCCACTACAGTTATGGGTGCTCATTTTTTAAAAATAATCCCTTTCAATCCTTAACTTAGAAACACTAACATTTTGAGTAGTATTTTCAGAGGGTGCAGGGTAGATTTGAATCTCAACCTCTTGATAGTGAGCCAAATGTTTAACCACTAGTCTACTACCACGTTAGATCTATGATGCACAAGGGGACTCCTGCAACTATAAACAATAATTAATTGCATTAAATTGAAATCAGAATATTTTTGACTAAAAAAAATCACAAATAAAATTATTATGGCAACTGAGTTATTCAAAGTTGGTAAGACAATTTAAATGTTGCAAACTTTTTTTATACTAACATGTTCACCTTTTTTTTTTCACAGAACATTATACTATTCAGCTGGTTTAATGTTTGCAATAATCACTGGTTAATCACTGGTATAATGTTTGCAATAAAATGTTTTTACTTTTAAAACTAAAAAACAAAAAGTATGACGCCTTTACAAAAAATATTTTACTGTTAAAAATGTTTATGATTTAAAAAAACTTTCTTCCTCACTTCCACTATTCTTTAAATCTGATATTGTTACTGTAGCTAAATCTATGTTTAATTTTCAGGAATTATGTTTGTTATGTCACTGGGTATTACAAAGGTTGATGCCGTTTCCATTTAATTAAATTTATAACTATTGCAAGCAAACATTAAAAATTTTCAAAAATTTGTTAAATTTTGTTAAAATTTTAAGTTTCTAATT